ACAGACTCAATCATTTCTCTGTAGAACTGTACCAGAAGCTCCTTGGGCTGCTTGAGCTTTCTGAGTTAGTGAACTATGTTGAGCACTACCTGTCGTCCAACTAAGGGAATTTCTACACTAGAATTTGCTGGTGTCAGGCCCAAGGAACCAAAGCAACACCCTGAATTGATCAGAGTAGCTTCTTTATTGCTGCTTGCCTATTTACAAGAATCTTGCCAGACTGGCTGCATTCTCTTGGGGACAACCAGATAAGAGTTTAAGGGATTTGAGTGAGGTCTGTGTCACGTCTTGCTTTGCAAGGCCTCTAAGCTTGCCAGTCTCTTCACTTCTCCATCCACTCTAGCTGGAGATTCCACCACAATTGGTTGGCTTCCTTTTCCCTACGGTGAATGCTGTTGATGATGGATGTCCTGCCCTTGTGGACAAAAACACCATGGCTATCAAGCACTGGGGAAATCAGGCCCTTCAAATGAGTATAAAAGATGTATTGCAAGATTAAGCTCTCTACAAGAATCTGACCAACTAACTGAGCGGGAGATTAAGAAAGACATTCAAGGTGGGCTGGACTTAGATCTGTTGTGGCATGCAGAGATCTGTGGCTTATGATGCGATTGTACTCTTGTTTGGGTTCAGCCTGGTCATCTCCTACAATGGCCACGAGACTGAAGATTTGGGTACCTTCCAGCCATTGAGCCATGGTGTTGATGTCCCTCAAAGCAGACTTTCTCATTCAACTTTTGAATGGGAGCATTTCATCGCAAAATGTTGAGAAATGGAAAAACAAGGACAAGACTAGATTCAGATTCAGAAATTGAGGGGAGCGTAAATTGAGGTCAGTTCATCTCCAAATGCGAAGCAGGTACATTTCTCCTGCATCTTGTTCATCTATTAGTCTAGAATGTTGTTCCTGGCCATGTTTTCCATTTGTCCTACTCTGTCAAAAGCAGGTCTAATTAATGTGTCCTTTATCTTTCTTTCCTTTTCTTCCCTTGCATTGGAAGAGAGGGCCATGCAGTAACAGCTGCTTTTGGAATAATCAGCATAGTGCAATGCACATTTAAAAAATATACAGTTGTTTCTCTTGCTGTGAGCTAAGGACATGAGCCTGTGACCATTAATAAAAGCAAGAGATGGAACCATAGGGAAAATATTCCATTTATATGCACCATGCACTCTTCCCCCTTTTCCCTTAAACAACCCCTCAGAGATTAACAGTTACATATCCAAAAAAGGAATTACTTCATTTCCTACAGACACAGCATATAGTACAGTTTTGGAATAGGGCACTACTGTACTGATGTTTTGGAGAGCACTTGGCCTAATGCAAATCAGGCAGAATCTCAGTTGAATTGCCACATCCAAATAGGCAATTTTTGATGTAGGAAGTCAGTCCAACTGACCAATTTGAACTGGTTTGGAAAATCGATCTAGTGGAGTGGTTGAATCTAATGCAATCTGGATTTCAGAAACGGCTGTTAGAAACAACACAGAAGCTTCTGAATTGTCCATATCTGTTTGGAATTATCAGATTTTACTGTGTTTTTTTTAAAACCTTAGTTCAGTGAAGAAAGGTGGGGTAGATGGAGAAGTTTGATTGGATCTCAGTCAAATTCTTGCACAATCCTAAGTGAGCAGATATTGACCTGGTGAAGTTTGGAAACAAATAGTAGTGCCTTTGCAATTATTTATGTGCCACTTATTAGAACCTGTCTGATTGTACAGTTCATTTTGATTTGAGAAAGGTCAAGTTTGGGCAATTTCACTGAATCTCTATTGAATTCACCTATTGCATTGAATCGCTATTATACAGTATTGTGTACTTCTCACAACTTAGTTGTTTTTTTTTTAAATACAGCACTTCTGTATAGGCGTTTCAATTTCCTTCAAAGCTCCTTAGATATACAGAACGGTTTTGCTACTGGCAGGAGCATCTGGCTTGATCTGCAGGCTTGTCTCCTTGTGATACTTTTTATTCTCTGATGTAAAGATGGGAAAAAGAAGTAGCTACAAGCCCTCCCCTTTTTTTCTATTTTTTTTTTAAAAAAACCTTTCTCTCAAAAGTATTTTGAATGGGATTTAATGCAGAAGTGGATTGGGAGTGACCTTTAGGGTCACATGCAGCCATCAGCTTAATTTCAAATTGATTTCTCAGAATGTGTGCAACTCAAGGTTTGCCTGCCTGCCTGCCTTGCTGATTGGAGGAGACTAAAAAGTTGGGGTTGATGTTTCTGTGGGAATAGGTGCAAGTAGTTCTCAATTTACGAACAATCATTTAGCTTCCCTTTGAAATTATGAGGATGTTGGGAAAGATGATTTAGGACCAGTCATTGCACTTATGACTGTCATAGTATCCCTTGCAATCACAGGATCAAAATTTGGGTGCTTGGCATCCAGCATGCATTTATGACAGTTGTGCTATCCAGGGCTCAACGGATCACCATTTGTGCCCTTCACAGTTTACTTCTGACAAACAAAGTCAATGGAGGAAGTTGGATTTGCTTAATGACCACAACCCAAAAGGTCACAAAATCAAGAGCGACTCACTTAATGATCATTCCGCTCAGTGATGCAAGTCTCTAATCCTAGTTGTAAATCAAGGATTTCCTGTAAGTCAAGGATTACCTGTACTACGTAACTCAGCCGTACCCAGTAACAGCTCCCCTTGTTCCTCTGCCTCGCTGCTGCCAGACTCCGGAGGCTCCAGAGGCAGATGGTCCTGGCCCCATCTCTGCATCGGACGCAGGACCCTTGTCCGAGTCCTCTCCGGACTCTCAGACTGGTCCCCGTTCTTCCCCACTGTCCGATTCCACTGCCGTCTGCACAGGCTGCCGGCGAACCACAACAGCCAGGATGGTGGGAGGGGAAGCTAGAAGCCAGGAGACTGTGACTTCTAGTTCTGCCTTAGGCATGAAAGCTGGATAGATAACTTTGGACCAATCACCATGAGACTGTGAGTTCTAGTCTTGCTCTCAGGTCCCCTTCTGGGATGCTGCCCTTCCGATGGAGAGGGGAGGAGGAGGCTATTCAGGGTTGCCTTCTCAGCACACTTTCGATTTTGATGTAACCGCATGGGATTTACAGAGGGGGATAATCTTGAAGACAGATGGACTTTCTCCCAGCTGGTTCTAGCCTGACAAACAAGGTCGCTGCATCCTGGGAATGAACTGCTATCAAGCATCCACCTCAGAGTTCTCAAAACACCTATGGGGCATTGCATTGGCTACCAGTGGACTGGTGAAGGGTGGGGTTTGAATTGGGAAGACTAGCTTAAAGCATTGTGCGGGGACTCCACCATTCCGCCTGACTGCTCTGCAATCACTTTCTCTCAGTCAAAGTTCCTTTTGATAACTTACTTGTTTCAAGAGTCACACTTTCCTGAGGGATTAGCTGAGGCAAGTCCTTACATCCGCTTTAGGCATGAGAGCTGGCTGGGTAACTTTGGGCCAATTACTTTCTCTCAGCCCAACTCCCTTCACAGGATTGTTGTTTTGGGGGAAATAGGAAGAGGATAGATAGCATTGTGTTGGTCACTGCCTTGAGTTATTTACAAAACCCAAATAATAAAAAGGTACAAAGGTACAAATAATTACAATACTGAAAACAGCGGCAGTACCTGGAGACAGCGGAAGAGAAGAGAACAAACTGGAGAAGATCACAAAATTCAAAGACCCGCAAATAGAAATAGAATGGTTGTGGCAAAACAAAGGAAAGCGAGCACTAATAGTAATGGGTGCAACCAGTGGTGGGATTCAAATTTTTTTACTACCAGTTCTGTGGGCAAGGCTTGGTGGGCAAGGCAGGGGAAAGATATGCAAACTCTCCGTTCCTTTCCCACTCCTGGGGGAAGGTTACTGCAGAATCCCCAATCCTTTCCCACCCCACTAACCTGCTTTCCAGCTCCATTCTCCTGTGCAGGGCAACCAAAGAAGAGCCAGCCAATCCGCTGGGACTCAGGAGGCAGAGAATAGATGGGGGCGGGGCCAGTCAGAGATGGTATTTGCCGGTTCTCCGAACTACTCAAAATTTCTACTACTGGTTCTCTTAGAACCAGTCAGAACCTGCTGAATACCACCTCTGGTGTTGCCAGTGTTAGAATGTTTTAACTCTTCCAATGAGTTATAAAGAGATGAGAGGATCAGCAGCGTGGTGGAGGGACTTAATTACAGTGAAGGGTGCACCATGGAACCTCTGGAGGTTGGGAACAGATCAACCTGGAATAAAAATTCTACCTATGTGGTTCTAAAGGTTGATTCTATCTTGATTGCACACAATAGACTTGTATGCAGAAACATCCAACTTTCGTGGCATGCCTTGGTGACCGTGCCTTAGTGGGCATGGCAGTGGAAAGATACTGCAAAATCCCCATTCCCTCCCCACCTCACTAACCTGCTTTCCAGCTCTGTTCTCCTGTGCAGGTCAACCAAAGAAGACCCAGCTGGGACTCAATGGGAGGCAGAGAATATATGGGGGCGGAGCCAGTCAGAAGTGGTATTTGCCGGTTCTCCGAAGTACTCAAAATTTCTACAACCGGTTCTCCAGAACTGGTCAGAACCTGCTGAATACCACCTCTGGTGCAATCCCCAAAGAATTACAACACCCTTTGAGCACTATGAGCAGTGACAAAATCACCTTTACTTGGAACAACTTACATTCTGTGACCATACTTTTAATACCAGTCAAACATCCGCCTCTGTCTATCCCTTGGGAAGGAATCGATGGGTGGATTAAAAATCTGAAATCCCGTCTGAACATTTGGCTGACGAACCACAGTCCATAACTACAGTTGCATATAGGTTGCCATTTCTTATGATCATGATAATGATACTTGCTGTTATGACTAGTACTGCTTACTACAACTGTAACTTACAATTGGTGTCCATTATATATGCTAAAAAAAAATCAAGAGGGTGGCTGCAGTGATGTGCTTGAAGCGCTACAATGTACCTGGAAAATGAGTGAAATGTAGTCCCGTTTGATTGTTGCCTTTTGCTTTGTTTCAGCACCTAGTTTTGATTATGGTGACATACCTTCACCACTGGAAGAGTCGGATAGCACCATCACTGTTCTCCTGCGACCAGCACAGGGCAGGGGTGCCCCAATCAGGTAGTGATAAGGATAAATGAATGATGATCGAATTTCTTATTTTTAACAATGCAATTGTTATTTATTTCACAATATTTACAGCCCATGCCATTCCTAGCAGGTTCGGGGGAGAGGTGCGGAGGAGTTGTTAATAAAGTCAAAGGAAACAAAAGGGAAAGCTCTGTACACAAAATAATTTCATTATAAAGAGTCAACAATAACAGGGGCCCTTTAAACTAAACTAATAACTGAATGCATGCTGGAATAAAAATTGCTTTGAAATATTAGCGAGGTTGGCTTGGCAAGTCATAAATATTTGAAATGCATGATTCTCTGAGTCCTAAGAAAAGGTATTATGGAATGCAACACACAGTATGGATATAGTTTTGAAAGGAATGTAAAAATGTAAAAAAACAACCACATTATATTAGGGAGAGTTGTTTACAAAACTCTGCACTGAGAAACATAGCAGAAAAAGGTCTCTTTAGTTGAAAGAAATGTGGAGCATTTCAGTACAGACTTTTGTAGTTTGACAAATGGAGCCTGACATATTTGCTGAAATAAGAAACAGAGACTAACCAAAATTGACAGGTTGGCCTATCTGTATAGGACAGGCAGTCCTATGCAATGGATCATGAATTTTGTTTGAATTTTGAAATAAGGCTATTTCCTTTTATCAAGTGGATGCATTGCATTCCACTGCCTCCTCTTTTCTTTTCCCCCTCTTATCTTTCTTCCCTTTCTAAAAATGCTAACTGCAAGGTTATGCTTATCCTGCAAGGCTGAAACACCCCTTTTTATTGAGATTCTTCACCAATAACTTATAAGAAAAGGATTCATTGGGGAAAGCAGTGGAGATTAAATATATAATACTCTTGATACAGATAGTCGTTGACTTAACGAACACAGTTTGGAAGAGAATTTCTGTTGCTGAGCAAGTGGTTGTTAAGCAAGTTGCAGCCAATTTTACAACCTTTGCTTTCCCACAGTTGTTAAACAAATTATTGCAGTTGTTGAGAGAATCCAACTTCCCACACTTGACTTGTTAGTCAGAAAGCAGCTGGGAAGGTTGCAAATGTGATCACATGACCCTGGGATGGTGCAACCATATAAATTCATACCAGTTGCCAAAGTGCCCAAATTTTGATCATGTGATTGTGATGGATACTACGATGGTTGTAAGTGCGAAGATTGGTCACAAATCCCTTTTTTCAATGCTGTTGTAATTTTGAAACATTACTTAACAAATGGTTGCAAGCCAAAGACTATCTGTACTCAGTTTAAGGAAATGTTTTAGGAACTTAAGCATTCCTCTATTTTGCTTCCTCTACTTCTACTTTCTCTACTTTGCCCTGCTGTACATTTTAGAAGTCTGTATATCTACAAGTTTTGAACGTGTGGAAGATTTTTCTGCATGTCCAGTTCTCAGTTCTTGGAAGACTGATTTCTATGGGATAATTCTAAGATTTTAGATGATTTGGGGGAGGGACTTAGCATGGTCTAATATAATTTAATATATAAGATTTCAGTGGATGTTAACTAGGATCTGGTTAATTTAGTGATCAAGATAAATAAAGGGATATC